GGTCGGTCCTGGGGCCTGGATGTCACCCATCCACTCCCAAGCCACCAAAGTTCCAGGGATGGGAGCGTCGGGGAGGATGAAGCTCTGTGGTTGCCAAGGCTGGGAGGGGAGAAGGGAGCAGTCAACAAGCACCAAGGAGGAAGGTGGACACGGGAGAGGGCACCAGGGCCTACAGTGGCCCCTGGGATGGTTGGGGAGTGGAACCCTGAACTGGGGGTACCATAGCACTTGTGGCTGCAGTGGGCGTGAGGGACAGGGGGCCCCCACCCCCAGTCTGCTCGACTGGTGCTGTGGGGCTATGCTATACATGCCATGGCTGGACCGGGTGATACTAGGCCAATCCCAAGCAAGCAGAGTCCAGCCATGGTCCTGCCTCTTGGCAACTGGGTGTCTACGGACACTCTCCAGCCTGGTGTCCTTACTAGAAAATGCACCATCAGTTGTTTTCCAACTTTGCTTGAAGTAGCAAACACAGTTTTACCCAGCGGACTACAGTGGATAAAAATGAGCTCTGACCTTTGACCTTTCTTTGTCTCAATAACAGAAGTGCTTCCTGCCACCTACCCAGGCTCACTCTCCCCACTCAAGGCAAGTTTCTCCCTCGCCCAGGTTAACAATCCTGTGTTTGGACAAGAGCAGTCTCCAAGGCATTGTCCACAGGGTCTTGGTAGACATGTCCCCCTCCATTTTGCTCTGAGCTGAACCTGAGTACCAGGGCTTGACCAGACAGGGTCACTTGGCCAAGGCCACCGGACAGTCAGGGTTCCCACACCCTCCGGGGACCTGGGCTCCAGGGAAGGGTTAATGGAGGGACCCAGAAGAGCCAAGCTGCCTTTCTTGAAGATGCCCATGCTTGCAACGACCTCCCCTCAAGGAGGGGAGGCCCACAGACCCTCAGCCCTGACCCTCATTTGCATTGTTCTGCATGAATTTGCATGGAGAGTTCAGAAGCTCTGCCCCTGAGCCAGACCATCTAATGCAGGCAGACATTACTCTGATGTCCGCACTGTTCTTTAAAAAATTAAACCTAATAGAGTGCATTTTACTGTCTATAAATTTAGAAATAATTTTTTTAAAAGTATACTGAACAACATCAGGGATATGGCTTCTGACGAGCAACAGATGCTCAGAGGGGGGGAAAATGCAACATAGACTCGAAAGATGGAGGAAACTGGTGTCTAGCCTTCACCCTGCCTTGAGAGTTACACCCCCATCCCTATACAAAGTGACGAGTGAATAGGAGGGAAGATGTGAGTGCAAGACAGTGCCGCAGAGAAAATGGCCTCCGTTTCCACACCTGTAAATGTGGGGTGGGGGCACGCTCCATGGTCCTGCAGCCTCTTCTGAGAGCTCAGCTCAGGAGGCAGAGCCGACCCTGACCCTGACCCTTACCCCAGGTCTGAACTGCTGGCCAGGCTGAGCCCTGTCACCAGGGAGGTCCTGGGCCCTGTAACCCATCGCCCCCACCCAGGCCTGGAGAAGCCCCAGGTGGCTCAGCTTGAAGGCTCTGGGGCAGCACAGCACATCTCATTAAGGGCCCTGCAACTGGGTCTTGGGTTGCATCACTTCCCCGCTATAGGGCTAGGCACCCTAATGCACCGGCCCATGGTCCAGGGCCCATCCCCAACCCCGCCCTCCTCAGACTCCAGGGTTTCCGGCACCCTGCAGATTCCAGCAGTGGACCCTGCCTCCTCTTCAAGCCCCACACCTGTCAATTCCCCCACAACACACACCAGAACCTGCCACCACTATCCCAGCGATTGCCCAGGGACAGCACCCCGGCCTCCTTCCCCCCTCTCTAGGAAAGCTGGTGTTCCTTGTCCACGCCCTAGCCTGCTGCTTCCCTAAATGAGAGTTCACGGCTCTCAGAGCCCCTCCAGCCGTCCCCTCGGACCTCTCACTGCACACTCTCTGGGTGGGCACATGGAATTCCTGCGCCCCTAAATCTCTCTCTAGCCCAGCCATGGCTCTTCTGAGCCCCAGACCTATCTACCCACTGCCCCGATATCGCCCCAATGTCACTCAAGGGCCCTGCATGTCCAGGACTGGGTACACCCCCTCATCCCTGTGTCTTCTCCCCACCCCTGCTCAGACATCACCATCCACCCTGATAAAACATGACCCTCACCCACTCGTACCTCACTATCAAAGCACCTCTTGATTTCACCAAATCCGCCTCTCCCACCCGCCATCCGGCCCCTAGGTCTGTGACTTCACCTGGGTTCTCTATCAAGTACCACTGCCAGACTTACCAGTGAGTCTGCTTGGCCCTACCTCTCGGGTGGCTGCCACTTCACATGTGCCCCTGGCCACAACCCATCCAATGGACTGGCCACTGCCCCCAGCCACCACTGTTCTTCTCCTGGCCAGCTGAGATCAGGGGGTGCTTGGGAGATCAGATGGCAACATGCTCTGCTCAGGCCTTCAGGGCCTCCCTCCACACAGAGGCCCTGGTCACCCACCACGCTTGGTGGTCCTATCCACACTGCTCAGGTCAGTACCTCATCATGGCCTGCTTCTCCAGAAGGGCTGCCCTTCCTGTCACACAACTGTCAGCTTAGGGACCATCCTAACCCTCCGTACTATCACCCTATTTATTTCCCACATGATAGTGGTCACTCTCTGAATCTCCTTGTTTTGTTCCCCTCCCTTGCCTCTCCCCAGGGGCCTTGACCACTGCCTCATAGGCACCTGGCCCATGGCCTGACATTGGGGCCGGGGCACACGGTCATTGAAGTCACAAGGGAGTGAAGGGGCCAGTAGACAAATAAGCAAGTCCTCTTCTCCGATGCCCTGATGGTCTACCGCCCCTCCTGTTCAACCCTGGGCTTCTTCCTCCATCCCCTCATCCTTTCACGGTGCCAGTTGCACCTTCCTGGAGCCGGCTCTGACCAGGGATGCAGTGTCACAGTTCCTCGAACACATGGTCCACGTTGAAGGCCACCGTTTGACCCCATCTCCTCCTAACCGGGCCACCCACCCAGAGTTCTGTGAGCAGCCCAAGATCAGATGAGAGAAGCTGACTGGGTGACAACTCCTGGAGAGCTGTCTGCTCAACCATTTACCCAAACAGGACAAGATAAGATTCTTTAAAAATGATCGTGACACTGCTGAACTTTCTAAGCCCTTTGTCTACATTAAGGTGACTTGAAATCGGCCGAACATCCCAATTTGCTCTCAGTGAGATGAAGAAGCATGTGTTGCTGTCCTGGCAGCAGGTGAAACGCGCTAAACCCTCTGAGGGCTGGCAGACAAAGGCAGAGCTCACAGAGGCCACTGGAGCACAGGACTCAGATTGGCAGAGCACCTGGTGTTGCTAAGTCACAGAGGGGGAGCATCTAGGGCCTCCAGTGGGTTTGGGTCCTGCCAGGGCAATGTGGGGACCAGGCTCCCCACCCAGCTCACTCCCCACCGCACTCTTCTTTCCCCACATTTTTTTGGGTTTTAATCGAGGTAAAATTCACATGACAAAACATCCACCCTCTTCACCTGCTCAGTTCATTGGTCTTTAGCACATTCTGGAAGGTGTACACCCACCACTGAGTCACACTGATCTTCCAAATGGTGACACACTTCATTGTACAATATCAGAACATAGCACTCGTTAAAATCACCACCAATTTCACCAGAAAAGTTGTTGAACACTACAAAGCTGTCAAGCTCACAGGGGAAGATACAGACTCTCCTAAATTCTGATTTTCACTGGCGAGCTCGAATTTTACCATTAGCGGCAGATATTGTCAGTTGTTCTCTTTGAAGCAGCAGGCTCCCTGGGTGAGTCTTTGAGACAGTTTGGTTTCTGCGTCACTATGGCATGCCGCAGTTGTTCCTGTGAGTGAACACGTGCTCTGTGGGAAGGGCGGCTGGCTCAGCTCACAGTGCAAACCTGGCATACGCACCCTCCCTCCAGATAACCTGCGCACTTCCCATTTTGTCACCAAAACATTAAAGAGGCAGAATTCAAGAGTTGAGATTTCATACAATTAATATTGTAATGTTGTTGCCTCATCTAGGACGGTCTCAGAGGGGAAGCCGTGTGTCTTTGGTTGCATGTGTGAGCATGAAGAATGTGGTGGTGATTGTGGGTGCAGTTTGGGGTCCCTGCCTCCATCCAGCTCAGGCAGCAGCAGTCTCGCCATGTTGATTCTGCCCCCATCAGTGTGAAAGTCAACTTGTGAACAAGGCAAATGACATCTCAGTGGTTTTGACATCATAGACCTTGAAGGTTCAGTCAACCACACTTTGAGAACTGCTAGATTACTCACTCTCCCACCCCAGGTTATGGGGCTGAGCTCTCTGTTTAGCCAAAGAAGAAACTGGAGGCTCAGTGACATTAATGTGGTATCTAGACACAAGGCCAGTCGAGGCATATCCCCAGTGCCCCTTGAGAACCCACCCTTCTCTTCATACTTCGGGGCCCTGCCACTCTGTCTCTAACACAGCAGGAATCTGAGTGACCATCCTGACCACTGGTCCCCACCTTCACACAGGGCCAGGCAGACAGTGTCCTGATCCCTAGTGTACTCAGCCCAGTGGGAGCTGCAGCCCCCACCCCACACAGGTCCGGCACTCTGTTCTCTGTACCCCCAGACCACCCCAGGTCACCTCCAGGGGCCTGGGTCCCCTTCCCAGGAGGTAGCCTCCACCAGCTGGTTAGCTGGGGCTTTCAGATGCCCAAGCCACCTAGATAGCCCCCGACAAGCCTACTGAATGATGACCCACTGAGTGGGTGAACTCCACACACCAGGAACACTTCACAGTTTATCACACATGTTTCATCCTCAAGACCACTGTGGGGCTTCGTCTAAGTGGACAATGAGAGACAGAGGCTCAAAGAGGCCCTGGAACTACTGCCCTCCCAGGATATGGCTCCTGCCCCCCCACTCCTTCCTCCCCCGACCTCCCCAGCCTCTGCCCGCCACCACCACCCCACGCCCATCCCCATCCCCAGGCTCTTAAGTCAGGGAGCCAGAGACAAAACCACATGAAAAGGTCTTGGTTTCATTCAGGCCATTGAAATAGGGAGAGGTCTATGGGTCTGAAGACTTGTATGGGGAGTAGACAGGTGCCAGGTGATCTGCAGGTAGCAGGTGGGTAGTCTGCAGGTGACAGGTGGGTGGTCTGCAAGTGACAGGTGAGTAGTCTGCTGGTAACAAGTGGGTGGTCTCCAGGTGACAGGTGGATAGTCTGCAGGTGATAGGTGGGTAGTTTGCAGGTGACCGATGGGTGCTTTGCATGTGACAGATAGATGGTCTGTCTACCAGTAGGCTTATTTTGCAATGGCCGGGGAGTCAGGGTCAGCAAAGTAGGAAATGTTTTTCTCTGCACTTAGCTCGTTTCAGGGGGACAAACAGATCTAATCTCAGCTAATCAACCATGAGACAAAGAACTGGGACCTGGAGGGTGGGGGGTCTGGCCTGGTCACACGTCACCCAGTGAGTAATCTGTGGGTCTTATGGGGGTCATGAGGAAGTCATATGGGGTCTCAGCTCAGTCATTTGGGGAAGGGGTTCTTTGCAGTAAGCCATCTCCCAGGATATTTGGAAAACAAAAAGGTTGTGGGGGCTTCTTCCCTATCTCCGTCTTCTGGGAGCACAGGCTCAAGTAAAGTCCAACATTGTCCTGAGAAAGCTCAGAGGGGACCACACACAGCAGCGTTTCGGCTCGTCCAGCCACTTCCAGAGGAAGCCCTCTGCGGCTTCAGTTCCAGCTCTGTGCCAGAAAGCACACAGCCCCACGTCTTTGCCTCCGTCCTCATGGTTGTCTCTGCTGGGAGGACATGGACACCCCCCTCCCTCCAGGATTCACAGATCTGCCTGTGCCAGCACCAGGCCCTGTCTCCTCATCAGCCACACCTCATGGAGCATTTACCCCGAGGCTTCAGTTCAGCCCCATGTTAAGGCCATGCATGCTCACTGGAGCACTCCAGTGGCACTTAGTAAGTTTTCTTTTTTCATTGGCAGGGAAGTGGGAGATGCAGAAATTAACTGACTTCCTGATTTTCATCTATGTCCTGGATAAGGGACAATAAAACAGTTAACCTCCCTATTGATGAGATGCCCCTGTGCAAAAAAAAAAAAACCAATAAAATAAAAAGTAAGGAACCGTTCAGACAGCAAGACTGACATAGGACTGGCCTCTACATGCCCATGACGGGACCTCGACAGCAACAGACCACCAGTGGCCAAAGAAGGTGCGTTTGCCACTGTACTCAGCCACAAGGTCACAGTGTGGGTGCCCTTCCTCCAGCAAGGCTCCCAATCTTCTCATCCTCCCCTGTCCATCCCTCAGCCCCACTGCTGCCCGCACCATCCACTGGGGTGGCTCCAGCTTTCAGGATGCCCTTCCGCCCCTGCAGACCTTCATTCCTGCCTCCTTCCACCCTACACAGGTGCCCTGCTGCCAAGGTTGCACTTAGGCCACCTCTGGAGAACTCAGACCTCTTCCCAAACAAGTCTCCACTGAAAAATCTGCTTGTAATGACCATCGCAGGGGCCAGAGAGGAAAATAATCTCAAAAGGAATATGGATGGGGTCAGGGGACCCACGCTTTTGTCCTGTCTAGCTCTGGGGTCAGGAGCTCTGCCGCTCCCATATAGGGGAACAGGTGGCCATGCCTGAGGGTCAGAGTGGGCCCCATGAGGCTGAGCTTGCATGTTTGGGAGCCAGGGAGCTCAGAAATGACTTCCTGTTTCTGGCTAAGTCAAGCGCTCTACTCCATTTATAACCCAGACACAGTCTCACTCAGGGATTCGGGACCAAGGACAGAACTCAAAAAGTGGGGAAGCAGGAGTCCTATGGACCAGGCCATGCTGAGCACACATGAGCAGCGAAGTGGAAACAGCCTCTATGCCAATGATGGGGCAGCATGAAGTGTCTCTGGGTGTCAGCCAGTAGAAGCGGGGTACCCTTTTGTTGTGGCACCAGGTGGCACTGTCCACAGCTAGACTGCTGGATGGATATTATCAAAGACCGGAAGTACATCCCTTTAATACCCACCAGGACTTTTCCCCTGGAAAAAAAAATGTTTAAAATAATAATGGTGAGAGTTCATAATTTTACACAGATGAGGGCTGGGATCCTTCCAGCTTCTTCTTCCTGTTTCTCACCTCCCCCACTTCCGGAGGAGGTGAGAGAGCTTCCAACTTGAACTTCAACCACCCGACCCAGGACATTAATGTCTTAGTTCATGAAGGAAGCCACGGGGGACGCAAAGCTAAGAGTCACTGGCAACAGGGATATCTGCCCCTCTCCTGGCCCTGCCAGCTACAGTGGACAGGGCAGAATCTAGCAGGAAGCCGACCGAGGGAGTGGAGACAGAGAAAAGCAGGGAGGGGCTGGGCAGCAGCAGGGCAACCCTCAGACCGTGCTGAAATATGGCTCCTGCGGCTGGGGTGGTGATGCAGTTGCCTGAGGGCCAGCGACATCGCTCCTGCTGGTCTGCATCTTCTGAGGGGTCTCTTGGACCACATTGTAGCTGGCGGTCCTGAGGCAGGCTGCCCGCCCCTGAGGCCCTTCTGCCCCACACCTGCACAGCTGCCTGAAGGCCACGCGGAACTTCTGGGACATGAGGCTATAGATGATGGGGTTGATGGCACTGTTTGTATAGACACAGGTGCGGCAGAAGAGAAGGACCCAGGGGTCCAAGAAAGGCCGGGCCACGAAGGAGTTGAGCAGCACTAGCGTGCGGTGGGGCATCCATAGAACAGCAGAGAGCAGCACAGCCACCACCAGCATCTTGGTGACCTGCGGGAAGGCGGGAGAGCGGAAGCCACTGGGGCCCAGCACACCACATGGCTGGTGGCCGAGCACATGCCACAGAACGGTGCAGCCATGGCTGCCGCCTCAGGAAGTATTTGCTGAGTAAGTGATGAGAATGTTACTAAAAGAACAACTTAAACTATTACTGCCTATCCGCTGGGCACCGTGCTAGACACTTCCTATGCAGCATCCCGGGGCTGACATTCGAAGCTGTGCCTGTTGATAAGATCGTGAAACAGTTCCACATCGGGTGGTAAACAGTAACTTCCCTGAGTCCCCCCAAGGGCACCCTGCCCCCTAGACCTCTCAGATTCCCACCAAGCAAAGATCGGATGTCTGGAGCAGGACCTCAGAACCCTGATGCTGCAGTGAGGCTCAGGACGGATGCAGTGGTGGCTAACACCCCATTATCTCCCTTGCACTGGGTTCTTCCCACAGTACCTCAAGAAGGTGCTATTCTCACCTCTGCTCTGTGAATGAGGAAGCGGAGGCTCAGAGATCTGAGGGATCACGCAGCACATGCCACCCACGACCCAGCTTCTCCTGCAGCCCATCTGCGCCCATGGCGGTCCGATGGCTCTACAGCCGTGTCCTTTTGGATGGGACTCTGTTCTGTTCTTTCAGCCCAGGAGTGCATCACCAGACCCATAAAAACAAACCCGTCAGGGAGACGGGAGGGCACAGGGGTTTTACAGCCCAAGGACAGCCTGTTAGGATCAGGGCTTCTTTGTGCTCATGTCTGAGGGAAGTGGTGTCATTGGGAAGGGGAAGAAGCCTGTGTCCTGCCCACCTCAGAGGGCAGCCACCAGCCTGACCCATACAGGTAGCTTCCTGAGTGCTCCAGAGCTGAGGGGAGGTCTCTGGGTGTCCCCTCATCTTGCTCTAACCCTGGCACCTCCCTGCTGCTGCCTCCAGGGTGCAGAGGCAGCAGGTGAGTGTGGGTGCTGGAGCAGGCAGGCCTAAATTCGATCCAAGCTCCCTGTTTCTTAGTTGTGTGGCCCTGGGCCACCCCCTCTCTGAGCCTCCCTTTCCCACTTGTAGCATCAGGATAATAGCAACCTCTTCACAAAGTGTGGTGAGGAAGTGTGGGGGGGGGGCACCCATGAAATCACCACTCTCTCTGCTCCAGGAACTTTGACTTTCTGTGTGTCCATAGCTTTGTGCCTGGGGCCATGCTCCACCCCACATGTGAGCAAAAGCTTTTGCAGCTCCCTGTGCACCTGGCTCTATTCTCTCTGTCTCAGTCCCTTTCTCTCTCCCTGTCTCTCCCTGTCTCTGTCTCTCTCTCCCGTCTCTCACCTCTCCCTCCCTCCACTAGCACCTCTATTGCTCATTCATAGGAGCCCTCTCTGCTCAGTTCTCTCCCTGCCTGTGAGAGCCTGTAAACACCTGTCTCAGACTCCAAATGCATGGGGATCCTGCTGAAACCTGAGGCAGATGCTGCCCTTCCACTCGCTGGCCCCTACTCCCTCTAGTCAAAGCCAAGCACTCCCAGCCCACAGGCCTCTCCCCACTCCCCTGCTCCTTGCTGATTCTCAGCACCAGGCACTCTCCTGCCTCAGGCCTTTGCGCTGCCTGCTTCCCCCACCTGGCATGCTTGGCGTGGATATTTGCTTGGTGTGCTCCCTTGCCAACTTCAGATCTTCATGCAGCTGTCACCTCACAGCGATGCCTTTCTGAACTTCCCCCTAAACTCCCTCTCCTCCCAGCTTCATTTCTTTCTGCATTTCCAGTCTTCCCTCTGACAGACTCCTGTGTATTTGTGGTACTGGTACCCATGATGTGTTTCCACCTGCCATGAGCCCCAGCCAGGCAGGATGTCTATCTTGACATGTTCTCCCCTGTGTCCCAGCACCTAGAACCATGACTGGCACATAGTAGGTGCTTGATAGACACTTGTTGAATGAGTGAACAAATGTTGAGCTTGCGTCCTCACTCTCTCTGCCTCTTTCTCTGCACCAATTCCTCCCACCCTCTAGCCTGCTGCCCTCACTCAACCCTGGAGGAGACCTTGATTACCTGCTTCCTGGATGACGGGACGTCTTTGGGCCTGGGGCAGCTGCCCACTTTGCCTCCACCTGGCCCATGGTGCTCTCCCTCCTTGGTTTCTGCCTCTCTCCAGGCCTCGCTGCCCCCATGGTGGGTCAGGTGGGACCGGGAGCTCCGGAACAAGAGTGTCCCAATGAACCCATAGAGGACGGCAGTCACCAGCAGGGGCATGATGAAGAAGACAGTGAAATCCAGCAGGTAGATGGGCAGGTAGAGGCTACGGGACACCTTGTAGCCGCATTCCAGGCCCTGGCTCTCGCTGACATTGAGGTCCACCAGGAAGAGCCAGAGCAGGCAGTAGATGGATGTGCACCCCCAGATGCCTGCAATGATTCGCTTGGCCCGGGCCACGGTGCACACGGTCTGTGCCCGCATCGGATGGCAGATGGCGATGTACCTGCAGCCACAAAGCATCCAGTTTCCCCTGGGCCAGTGGAGTCACATGACCCACCCACCAGCGTGCAATTGGACCACGGTGGGGACACCTGACTCAGCTTAGCCAATCAGATTCTCCACCTGGGGAAACTGGAATGGGGACGTGATAGTTGAGCTGGTCCTTTCATGGGGAGAACTTGAAGGCCATGAAGATTTGGGGAGCCAGGTGGCCATCCTGAAGTAGCCAGGAGGTGCTGGTAGAGCAAAGAGAGCCAGTCTTGAGAGGGAATGGTGAGTGGGTGCTCACCTCTCAAGGACCTTTGCCCCTGAGGCCCACCAGGTGCAGCTGCATCTGCTGCAGCCCAGGGATCCTAGTGCCCTTCAAAAGCCTTTGACTATGAACCAGTCCCAGTGGATTTCCTGTTGCCCACCTCCAAAGGATGCTGATGGAAGCAGCCAACAACACCACGTGCCCCTCATGGCCAGACTCACAGCCTAGACCTAGGTGGAGGTCACCAAGTCAATGCACGTGGCCAGGAGATGGAGCCCACTGGGCTCCAGATGGGTACAGCTGGGGAGAGCTACAACCAGGTCAGCATCTGGATGTCAGAAGGCCTCGGTTATGTCCTGATTCTATGTGGCCCTGGACATGACACCTAGCCTCTGGGCCAATTTTCCCAAGGCTATGTATGCATCTAGGAAGTGGCAGAGCTGGATTTGAACCCATTCAATGGGCTTTACAGTCCATATGCTTAACCACGAGGTTATAATATTTCTCAGGTATTACAATCAGAACTGGAAGAGACCCAAAAGATTGTCCAGTCCAAATGTCCACTTTCCATATGGGAAACTGAGACCCAAAGGAATGCAGGGCTTGCCTTGGCATCCCCCAGGGAGTTCGCAACAGAGTTGAGATGAGAACCCCACATCCTAACGCCTGCCCCCAGTGCCAAGCTCTTCCAGGGTCCCACCCCAGCTCTCCTCTCCACTCAACTGAGCCTCAGTTTACCGAGGATCCCAGCCAGGAAGTCCTGATTGTATTGTTTTGTGGTGAGGGAAATGGCGTGCAGGAGGAAGGCTGGGAGCACCTACCTCTCCACGGTGAATGCCAGGATAGAGCAGGAGGAAACATTGATGCCCAGATACTGCAAGTAGGTGATGCCCAGACAGCCGGCATGCCCATAGACCCACTGTCCAGCCAGGCTGTCGGAGACATTGGGCAGCCCCGCAGCCACCAGCACAGTGAGGTCAGCCAGTGCCAGGCTGACTAAGTAGCAGTTGGTGGGTGTATGCATGTCCCGCGTGGTCAGCACCACCAGGACCACCATGGCATTTCCCACAATGCCCACCATGCACACCAGGAGCACCAGAAAGACCGAGACCATCCTGTACTCCACCGGGCCCAGGACAGCGGTGCCGCGCACCAGCGACACATTACTAGAGGTATCCAGCTTGCTACCGTTTTCCATGGTGGCTGGCCAGGTGCTGGAAGGAACAAGAAGAGAGAGCTCCAGGAGGCACCCAACACCAGTGGGGTGTCTGCAGGACCCAATGAACACCTGCCTCTCCTATGAGCCAGGCCCCCAGGGACATGCAGGGACATGCGCTTGTGAGGTTATCTGCTAGGCCAGGTAAGGGGATAGAAGAGAGCATGCGTGCTCTGGTCTCTGCCATGAATATGATTAGAGAGTCACATCCCTCTGCAAGCCTCAGTTTCCTGGTGTGTAAATACAGATAACAATCATACCTGCTACATAAGACTGAAGGGGAATTAAACATGTATGTCGAGCCCTTGGCCCAACACAACATGAGAGCTGTCAGCTGCCCTCTGTCATTAGGAAGTCACACAGCATCTCTAGACCTTAATGAGCTCATCTGTGAAATGGGGAGAATAGAAGTACCTACTTCTCAGGGACATGGTGAGATTCTTGCAAAATGGCAAGGCATGAGAAGTTCTGGGTGTGGAGCCTGGTGAAGGCTCAGTTTCCATTGTTTAATGTTAATATTAAGGCTTTAGGGGCCGGCCGAGTGGCGCGATGGTTAAGAACTGGCTTGGGATGCCAGAGGGCCCCGGTTCGGATCCCACATATGAGGGCCAGTGACACTG